AATCAACAATAAATTTATACTAGGATAGAAGAGTATTTTAGTCACTAAAGTATCTGTTATTTGTCATTTTAGTCCCCTAAGTTTCATTTTTATCATTTTGGTTCTCAAAGTTGTTAATTTGGTCCCATCTCTAACGTTCATTTAAATTGATAACGGGAAAAATATTTTATATTTGATGAATAGACAATCTTGGTCCCTAAAATATGTGTCTTTTGTCATATTAGTCCTTTAAATTTCAATTTTGTCATTTTGGTCCTTAAAGTTGTCAATTTAAGCTAGGACCAAATTGATAATTTTGAGGACTAAAATAACAAAATTGAAACTTAAAGGACTAAAATGACAAGAAATACATACTTTGAGGACTAAAAGTGTCTTTTATCTATATTATTGTTATCAATACAGATAGACGTTTTGTTTATAAAATATATATAGATAGATAGATAGATAGATAGATAGATAGATAGATAGACATTAGACCTAGGACCAAATTTATTCAAATTGACAACTTTGAGGACCAAAATGACAAAATTAAAACTTAGAAATTAAACTAACAAACAACACATATTTTACGGACTAAAAGTGTCTTTTATTCTTTAGACGAAAAAGGTGAGTTCAAGATTAGGGAGGTGGCATCGGAGGAGGCGAGGAGCAGGGAAGGACTGGAAAGGGCTGGCGTAGACGATTGTGATAGTGAGGGGTTGTCGGAAGAGGAGTTGGTGGAGGTGTGGGGTCCAAAGAAAAAGGGTATATTTGGAATTAAGGTAGAAGTTTAAAGAAAAAGAGATTAAAAGGTATTTAGGTGGGTGGGGAGCAAAGAAATAGAGGATCAAGAGCAAAAAAATAGATTGATATTTAGCAGCACTCATATGTTTTTTTTTTTTTTTTTCAGCAAAGAAAAATTTCATTAACAGCATGAAATTAATGGTACAGGAAGACGATATGCTTCGAGAGAGATTCGGAAGTATAACAATACCCCTACTACTGCTACTCGCATCCATGCAACCAACCCCTTGGCCTCACGATTTTTGTTTTTTTTTTTAAAACAAAAAAGTTAAGAAGAACTTAACTAGACAATAAAATACAAGAATCCCCACAAAATCAACCCACCAAACACCTCTGATCAACCCAATTACCACACTAAAAACTTTCAAAAACTTGTACATATGCTGCTACAACTCCCGAGGCTTACACCTATGCTACTACAGCTCGCACCATGCCTCTGTTGCAGCCCACACCTCACCTCAGCTGCTATAACTCCCAAAGCCCACCCCAACCACTCCTATACTGCTGCCCACACCACACCTATGCTGCTGCCACACCCAAAACCCACACCTATGCCTCTGCTGCAACCCACGCCTATGCTGCTGCCAAACTCCATAGCCAACACTGGAAAACTCCATGCTGCTGCAACTCCTCACCAGTGGTGGTGGTGGAAGTTCCTGAACTCCTCTCCGACGAGCTCCTCTCCGACCAATTGCATTGCCTCGACTGAGGCTGATAGGATATCTTTGAAACCAACAGATCTTCTTCTAACTTACACTGCGGATCCACACACCCACCGAACACCGACCACCCGCTGGGACACCTTCATACAAATGGAAGAAGTTCACCCCTCAAACTCTCTCTCGAAGAGGAGCGCTCGAGTGCAAACCGGACAGAACTGGATCGCCTACGACACCCAAGTTTTTGCCCAAACAGAGCATCGATACTTCTCTACCAATCTGAACCAGAGTGCACCCCTCAAGCTCCTACTCGCAAAAAAGCGCTCGAATGAAATCCCTGGACGACCCCTGATGAATCAGCTATAGCGGGCAAGGTTGAAACACAAGAAGACAACTGATGACAAACCTGGTCGGCCCCTGAAGAAATACCTGGACGACCCCCGACTCACCACAAAAAAAAATCTCTCCCGCAGCAAACAAGAACACACCTAGGTGGGGAAAATGGGGGACTCAAGTTTATTGAAAGAAGAAACTAACATACAAACACCGAAAACGAGCTAGGCCAGCCGACTGCCATAGCCAGAGGCGGCAGCCGTCCGGCCCAAGAAGAGGCCGGGGAAGGAGATTTTTAGAGAGAGAGAAATTTTGAAAAATATTGAGTTCAGGGGCATTCTTTGATCATATAATTTGACTACTTAGCAGCACTCATATGTAAAACCTTTATACGGGCTCATACAGATTTCTTGATATAAAAAAATAAAAATAAAAAATCAACCCATGACAATTATTTTTGCTTGAACATTAAAGATCTAGATGGGCCCAACAATACTGGAATACTGCAACATGGGTTCTGGTTTTGAAAATTATTGAGTTGTTTTGAAGTAATACTCTATCTATATGGAGTTGTTTTGGAGTAATACTCTATTCTTGAGTGGAGAAAAAAAAATTCATATTACTGATTCTATTTTATGAGATTTAAGGTTTGGTTTTGTTTGGTTTACTTTATCCTATTTATTAATTGACACTTTATATCTTGTTTTCTAATTGTTCAAATTAATAATTATTAATTTGGAGTATCACTTAGACTTGTTTTTTAGAAACATTGTATAATTTCATATTTTACACACGTTTTCTCAAGACAGAATTAAGTCATAGCTTAACTTCAACCCTACCGAAGACGTAGTGGCATTGAACCCGTGCTCCATGATTAATAGATTCTTCCCTGAGCACTATTCTAAGAAATTTCATGTCACACATGACAATACCATAAAGTGATATAGATCACCCATTTATATGGATCTCACAAGTTATGTGGATTCATATAAATAGATGGTCCAAACTACTTTATGACATAATCACATTACTGTCACATATAAAAATGCATAATTGTTCATTCTAGCAAATCATAGAGTAAGTCACACCATCACTCCAAAGTGGAAGACAAAGTATTTTATCTAATGGTATGCCACGTGTCATAGATAATGTGATATTATTTTTTTCCTTGTTAATTGATATTTAATAAAAAAAAAATGAGACCGAATGTGACTGAACACTCAACATCTCAAGTCAAATAAAACATGACTTCTCAAATCCATTTTAATTACATGTTAATAAATAAAAATAAAAATAAAAACTATGCCACATCATCTTAATTATCATTACATAAAATATTTTCTTAATAGAGTGGGCTCATACGAATTTTATATTCATAGCCTTGTGCTCCAATGGAGTGTGGTTCATAATTTGCCTTTTTGCAGGACTGTGAAATGGGTCGAATCATATGCCAATTTAGCGGCAGACACAGACCATGCATGGTTGCTGCACTCCATGAAAATGGAGAATCTATTGGGAAGATCTTTGATTGTTTGTTCAAGTCATATGTATCGTCTTCATCATCATCATTCAACTTTAAAAATTACTGGCAAACAAAAGCAAGAGAGAATATCATATCAAACCCTAACACCATAACTTTAGTTGCATTATAATAAACCCTCTCCTTAATTATGACATTAGGCCCATGCACCACCACAATCTACCAAGATACACTTAGGCCCCGTTTGTTTTAGGCTATAGGGAGGGTATTGGGACTAGTAATACCAAGGTATTACTAATGCCCTTGTTTGTTTGCAAAGATAGCCTTGGGACTATTAGTCCCTTGGTATTACTAATACCCTTGGAAGGGAGATTGGTAAGGAGGAGGTAGAGATGGTATTAGAAAATAATGAGCGAATTAGAAATTTTTTTATTTTTTATATATTAGGAATTTTTTTTTAAATATAACGTTTAATTTTTTATATATTTTTATTTTTTTTATTATTTTATATAAAAATAATTTAACAATTCCTCACTATCAATCCCCTCACTAACAATCCCCTCACTATAATAAAAAAATAAAAATAAAAATAAAAATAAAAACTATACCACATCATCTTAATTATCATTACATAAAATATTTTCTTAATAGAGTGGGCTCGTACGAATTTTATATTCATAGCCTTGTGCTCCAATGGAGTGTGGTTCATAATTTGCCTTTTTGCAGGACCGTGAAATGGGTCGAATCATATGCCAATTTAGTGGCAGACACAGACCATGCATGGTTGCTGCACTCCATGAAAATGGAGAATCTATTGGGAAGATCTTTGATTGTTTGTTCAAGTCATATGTATCGTCTTCATCATCATCATTCAACTTTAAAAATTACTGGTAAACAAAAGCAAGAGAGAATATCATATCAAACCTTAACACCGTAACTTTAGTTGCATTATAATAAACCCTCTCCTTAATTATGACATTAGGCCCACGCACCACCACAATCTACCAAGATACATTTAAATATATGTTCATTACAAAAGCTTCCCCCACTATTTGGAGAATTCAAGAACCCACAAATGACATTTACATAACAATAATGCCATGAAAATAGAAAAAAATAATTCAAAAAGTAATTAAAAAATAAAATATGTGAATAAGACACATATTTTATTTTTAAATCACTTTTTGAACTATTTTAGCTATTTCTTTCTCTCTTTTTTTTTTTTTCTTAGTCAATTGATAAGAAGTAATTACAAATATAATAAATATTATATCAAATTAGACAATTACAATTCAACAATAGCTAAAAAGTCCAACACTCACAAGTCCAAACTTGGAAAGAAATAAACTATATACAACCCCTATGATAGGGGAAAAATAAACTCCATAAAAGATATTAAACTCCTCCCCATAGGAGTTAAACTCACAATCTCACACACTTGATTACTCAGTAGCTATTTTCTTTACACAAATATTAGAGTAGTTATATTAGACAAAAGAAAGGCCAGTCTCAATCCAACACCCAAAAAAAAAAAAAGGTTTTTAAGAAAGGCTTTAAATATGCTTTCTTTCTTTCTTTTAGAGGTTAGGAATCTTAATTTCTAAGGCAAACTATTTTATATATGGAAAATGCTTAAAATTCTTAAAATAGTACTTTTAAATATATTTATAATGACATGAATTGTTGCATATCAGTTGTTGATTACACTTGATTACTCAGCAGCTATTTTCTTTACACAAATATTAGAGTAGTTATATTAGACAAAAGAAAGGCCAGTCTCAATCCAACACCCAAAAAAAAAAAAGGGTTTTAAGAAAGGCTTTAAATATGCTTTCTTTCTTTCTTTTAGAGGTTAGGAATCTTAATTTCTAAGGCAAACTATTTTATATATGGAAAATGCTTAAAATTCTTAAAATAGTACTTTTAAATATATTTATAATGACATGAATTGTTGCATATCAGTTGTTGATTTATTTAAAAATCAATCAACTAAAACTCAACTCTAACAATGTCAATGTAAATAAATTTAATAATAATATTTTAAGAACCTCTAGCATTAATAGTGAGTCATGCCATCCACTTCTTGGGTATGCTACTTAGTGTTTGGGGAAGAATCAGAGGCTTCACAATCCATCACTAGACCCCTCTTCTTACTGAAACCCCTACCTGTACTAATACAAGTGTCCTGGCAAGGAGGCCGCCGCGGTAGGGGAGAAGGGATGGTCACCGGTGGGATCTCAGTGGAGTTGAGTTGGGGAGGAGGGTGCTGCCACTGTGGGAGCGGTGCTGCTAGGAGGAGCGTTTGTAAGAGCGGCCCTGCTTCCATCACCGCCACCAAAAACTTCCCATTTTCCGGCAATGGCTTCTTAAGTACTAAATTGTCTATCAGTTGTGGTGGTGATGGCGATGCAATGATGTTTTCATCAGAATCCGAAGATGAAAATCCATTACTAGTGGTCCCGGATGAAGGGGCAGCATCTAATTGTCCTTGTTTTTGTTTTTGTTGGAATATGGCTTCCTCCAGTAGTAGCATTTGGCATTGTACTTTGGCTTCATCTCTTTCTTTGATGGTCTTTGTCAAGAGATGATTTAGATGGGCCAGTTCATCTTCTTTTCTTGCAATCTCCTCATGAGCAGATAGAATTGTTGTCTCTAGCTCCAAAGTTGTGTACAAGAGACAATGCTTTAACTCCTCAATTCCCTGACAAAAGTACATCATCAAATGAAGAATGCCCATCACTCCAAAAGAAAAGAAAACCAAACGAAAGCCAAACACTATATGAGGAGAGTTTTGTGAAAGGAAAAGAAAATTTAACAAAAATTTAACCTCCGTTTCATTTACTTTTCTCTTCCTGTTTTCGTTCCCTCTGCAAATCTCTTCTCAAATTCTTGATTCAATCAGAGCCCAAAGTTTCAATGAAAAGAAAGTCTAGTATGAGATGTCTTACCTCTTCTTGGTAGTAATAGCCCCAGCTAAGTGGACTACAGTGATCCTCCATTTCTTTTAATGCTTTGGATAAAAATCAGAGGATAAATAGAGAGATATATATAACTACTTGTGGTTTCTTTCACTTCTTATAAGATATGAAGAGCTTGCTTTTCTCTCTCTCTTCATCTTTCTTTCATGAGACATGGGGTAAGACAAAAACATAAAAGGCCCAAAAGCATGAAAAGGCCATAATGCTTGTTTAAAACTTTTATATTCTTGGTGCACAAGCACCATAAAGCACCATAATAAGAGAATGAGAATGTGAATTCGGAAACACAGTAGTCGAAGATGGCATCTATGTAAACATATACATACGAGAAAGTAATCCTAGAACTGTTGTGCAAATAGGACTTGATGGTTCCCACCATTTGATAAGAATTTTATTTGTGGTCGGGTCACAACCCGACATCACATCAAAAATCTCAACTGAATTATAGTTGAGCCGCCCCCACAAGTCCCAAACCCCCAAAATGCCTCCGTATGGGTTGATTATTTAGTATTCTAGAAATATATACACATGGTGTTTTATAAGGTTTTGACTGATAGACAGAGGTAGGGATCCACGATTTATGTTAAGGATGGAAGAATAACGTAAGACTAAGTAATTAATAATTGACTTGAAATACGACTACGTAGTATTCCGCAATTATTGAATAATTTCACCCCTCATGGGGCTAGAACCCCAATCTCCAGAATTTAAGAGTTATGAAGTGATGCCATTGGTCAAATGGATCAGAAGTTTGAAACTAATATTTGACATTCCATAATCAATATATGCCTTCGAAAGACGATGATACGTTTTCTTACTTATCTTTAGTTTCTTACAAAATTGTCTTGAATTCAACCAAAGTCAAATTTAACTTATGTAATTCAATAGTTTTCATATTATTCATATCTATCATGTTAGCTGCAATAAAATTTTGAGAAATTTCAAATCCCAAATTACTAAGAATTGCGGGGTAAAATCATATATGGCTCTTATTTTCTCTAGCTTTTACGGTTCATGTTGCCTTCATATTTTTCTGGACTAACTCTTGGATAACAACCATGGCATCTAAATCTTGATGAAAAGAAAATGGCATATTGACCATGTAATCAAATCAAAGCTATATGTCCATAAAAAGGCCTGTCTGCAAATGTCAAACTTTAAGATCTATTTGGATTTGCTTGAGTTACTTATCCTAGAACTCATTTTTTCTTTAATATTCACAAATTAAAACCTATTAAAGGAGCAAAATATAATAGGTCGGATTCAAGCCTTGGACCAGTCCAATCCACTAAGCCCAAGTCCAAGTGGGTCGGATGAATGTGTAAGGCTAGTCCAAGCCACGATGCTGGGCTGGGTCGAGCCAAGCTACTAGACTTAATTCATGGACCAAACTGATGGGTCGAACCCATCATTAGAACCAAAGTGGGCCGAGCCAACACAAAGATATCCAAATGGGCTAGCCCATCTTTACAAATAGTCTTACAAAAGACCGAACCGAGGCACAACGGTATCGAGCTAAGGGAACCTCTCAGAGAAACGTGGAAGCTATGAATGCATATGAAGGTTGCCACCTCAACTGGTCCCTCCCCCTAGAATCACAAAAATAGTTAATCAAAGGAATGTAATCTGTTATATGCATGGTTATAATGAGCACATGGATTCATCATCAACTACCTAGTGGTCTCCTACCTTGAGCAATGCTAAGGGCACCTTGAAGAACTAAAGCTCCATGAAGGTATGGAACTCATCTCATAACAACTCTACTTAATTGAAGACATTCTTTGCTTTGTTTTCTACACCTAGAGAGAGTTCTTTATCTTTTTCGATCACTCATTTCCATGCTGGAGGGGTTTTCTGGTCAACCCTAACCGGGCAACTCTGAAAGTACTTTGCGTTGCAAGTTCTCAGTTCCTAATTAATCTTGCAGAGTTCCGATCCACTTCCATCTGGTGCGAGATCCGATACGCACACCTATGCTTCTTATAGAGATGGATGCAATTACCAGGATCATGAGTTTTCTTTTTTCTCTTTTTCTTTTCTTTTTTCTTTCTTTTACTTTCTAGAAAAGTTACTGTTGGGATGAATGAGACCAAATATTTGACAGGAGATTCCTCAGTCAGACTAGAAGGCAAAAGTTCAATGCAGTGAAATGATTACGGTCATTGGATCAATGAAGCTGCTTTTTTTTTTTCTTTTTTTTTTTTTGGCCTTTTTGAGAATATTTCTTTTTTTTTTTTTTGGCCTTTATGAGCATATGCTTAGGTTTTCTTTTTGACTAACAAGGAGCCTCAGATGGATAAGATGACGGCAGTTGTTTAGTTGAATTTCACACTTAAAATTGGGTGTTTTTAATGAAAATAAATTATTCATTTAATAATCACAATTTATATTATTTAAAATTTGATGCAGCTCTTAAAATAGGCTAAGTTTTTAAATAACAGATTTCTTACTTCATTTTGTTGAGTTTTAAATATGACTTTGAAAATAAAAGCCTTTTTGCCAAATGCTCTATTAAACAAACACAGGATGCCCTGCATAACTTCCTGAAGTAAAATATTGTCTAATTAGATCATGAATATTCAAAACATCTATATTGTTGTCATATTCATGCGAAAGTAAATTGTAAAAATATAAAGGTGCCGTTTGATAATACGTTTTCAGTTTTCTATTTATATTTATAAAAATTTTAAAAATTCAAATAAAAACTTGTTTGGTAAATTTTTAATTTATAAATCAGTGGTCTCAGTTTATAAATTTGGCCAAAAAATAAAAACACAAAAAATGTGTGTTTTTCGTTTTTGAATTTTGAGTTTTTTTTTTTTTACCACCAACACTAGCCACCACCCGCCATCATTTTCACCACCGTCTTCCGCACCACCACCCACCCCCCACCACCACTGCCACCACACTCACCACCAACCTACCACACCACTCACCACCCGCTACCATCACCCACCTGCCACCCACCAAACCACCACCCACCTGCCACTCACTCGCCACCACCACCCACCTTGCACCACCATCACCACCCACCTGCCATCCCCCGCCTCCACCCACCACCCGCCACCCACCACCCGCATTTACGCCACCACCACCACCACCCACCTGCCACCACCATCCACCACTTACCACGCCCTGCCACCACCATCCACCACCGCCACCCACCACCACCTGCCACCCACTGCCACCTACCTGCCACCACCACCACCACCCACCCGCCACCCACCTACCACACCACTCGCTACCACCCACCACCCGCCACCGTACCACCCACCATCCGCCCCCACCTGTCACCACCACTCGCTACCACCCACCCCCCACCGTCAATCACCCACCACCACCACCACACCCCACTTTCCACCACCGTCTTCCGCGCCACTTGCCACCACTTTCATTTCTCACTCTTTTTTATATTTTTAATTTTTTTTAAACATTTTTGTCAATTACCAAACGCGTTTGTAGTTTATGTTTTTTCTAAAAATAAACAAAAAACAGTTTATAAAATTTTTGTAAATTATAACTGAAAACGTAAAACGTTACCAAATAGAAACAAAGTATTTCTGAAAATAGGGTTGTTTTGTTTTTTAGGGCGAATTACATTAATAAGTTCCTATAGTTTGGGATTTGTGTCATTTTGATTATTAACTTTTCAATTATGACACATCTGACCTTCAATTTTGAATCTTATTCCACATAAGGACAATTGAGATATCATTGATCAAATTTCAAGGGCAAACACATCAATTTGATAAATATAAACTAATTTGATAAAAATAAATATCAAAAAGATTATTTGAATTTTTAAAATTATTTACACTCACCAAAGATAAAATTATGTAAAATTGATAATTTTTTACACTTTATTTAATTCTTTTACTAAAATTAATTTTTATTATGTGTTTGGAGATGTTCTTGTAATGGGTGGTTATTTTTATTTTGATTAAATTAGTTTCTATTTTTCAAAAGTCAAATATGGCGACAACTTTAATATCATTATTAAACCAATCAATTAAATCAAAAAATCCAAAACTAAAAATATTTCATATATTAAATATTATATATCGATTACACATTAAAAGTCTAATAATCACCCATTATATAATTATCATCCAAACACATAATAAAAATTAATTAGATAAAAATGTAAATAAATAAATATGTAAAATTTATCATTTTTACATAATTATATCATTGGTGGTAGAAATAATTTTTAAAAATTCAACAATATTTTTTTGACATTTATTTTTGTCAATTTGTTTATATTTTATCAAATTATAAGTTTGCCCTTGAAATACAGTAATGGTATCTTCAACTGTTCTTATTTGAAGCAAAATTCAAAAATTCATTGTCAAATGTGTCATAATTGAAAAGTCAAAAACAAAAGTAACACAAGGCCCAAATTATACGGACCGTTAGTGTAATTCACCATTGTTTTAACAAATCTTTTCAAAAACACTTTCAAAATTATTCTACCTAAATTTGATTTATACTTCTTATAAGTAGTATTCCCATTTGATATTATATTTGGTGTAATCTTTTTTTTAGATGTCTCTGTTTGATATACTTCTTATAAGTTAAAAATTAATAATTAAAAAATAAATAAATTAAAATCATCTCTCCTCAGCTTTCACTCAACTTTTTCACTTTATTTAGGAGGAGAGAAAAAATAACCAACATTGAGCGGTGTGCAAATGTATTGTGGTGAGGTGCAATGAAAGGCTGTGGAGATATAAGTGTCACTGCATCCCCTATTTAGTTATTTTTTATCTTCTCACACCTCCATGTAGTTTCCTTTATTTAAGCTATTATACAAACCGTGCTTGGCAGTGGGTGACCCCAGCCCCCCTCCGTGGGTCTGTGATTGGCAAGAAAGAAAAAAAAATCAGCAATAAAGACACTGGGTTGACTTGGGTACAAAACTTTTTGTTATACAAACTGTAATCAAAGATTCATCAAATAATCTAAAGTAACTCTCAATTTAAAAAAACTTAAAATTAACTCATTTAACTGTAATAAATAAGATCAATATACTAATACTATAGCTTTGATCGGCATTGTCTCTTCTCTTCCTAAAGAGTAATGTTAAAAATTTAAAAATTCTATCAAATATTTTACCTGATATGAGACCACACCATTTAAATTTTATATAATCTAAATTTATATAAAATATTTGATAAAAATTTTAATACAACTTTTAAAATGGGCAACATTTTTGCTTCGGAAATCCATTAGTCAAGAGAGAGGATATCAAGAAGAGAGAGAGCAAGGGAAATAATGGTAGGCT